CATCTTCCTTATTCATCACAATGCCTCCTCTAAGGTACCTAGCAAAACCCTGTGTGACTTCTAGCATCTCCCAAGGTGTTACTGTATATGAAAGTAGAGAATAATTTAGTTGTTTCTGAATAAAGATTCTTAACAAAAAAAGGGGGGGGGGAGGGGCTAGGAAGGGGGAAGTTTCATACACTCTGCATGATAGAGACAATATTTCCTGACACAGGAGATACTAACCTCAAAGAATTTAAAATAAAACATTGATTTTATTATTTTTTTGAAAGGGGAATAGGGGAAACAAAAATGGTAGAATAGTCAGTCTTTTTATCCTATGTGCAGATGAAATTGATTAAACCTTAAAAACTTGCCTCAGTCCACCCGGTTTATTAATTGAAGAATTTCCTCTTCCCCAGAATGGGAAGTGCACATTAAAACAGTGCTTTGCCCCTGAGTAGCAATGATACTTGAGAACGGTACATTTTCTACAATCCTGTTTTCTCTTCTGCTCTAGAGGAAATCCTAACATGGTAAAAAGCGTATTTTTTTTTTTTTTAAAGTAGTATGTTTAAGGAAGTCCCCTTTCATTTCCTTGTAAAGCATGAAATCAAATTATAGCCTATGACCCACAATTATTTTATTTTTACATTTCAAATTCCATTTTCTGCTTCCTTTCGGTGCATGTGAACAGGAGTTGTACTGTTTGTGCAAAGTCATCTAAAAAGATTACCACAAACAGGACAGGACGCAGTAGCTTAAAGAAGCCACAAGTCAGAATCTGTGCTTGTGGTCGTGCTTGTGTGGCATGCATAAACCTTCCGCTCATTCACAGTGGGACTTGACCCCTCTTCCCTCCACTAGCCCAGGTTTTATTGTTTGGAGCCAAGTCGGCTTTATATTGATGGATTATGGGGAATCTAATGCAATACTAAACTTATGCTTACCAAAATAGTAGTAGTTGTAAATGCTCTAATAGTCTTAATTTACTTTTGTTGAAGAGAAAACAATTGAGCCTTCTGCCTTTCAATGCCCAAAGGCATTGAAAATGCTTTTTGGTTCTCCTTTTCAGTAATGCTGAAATTGTTAGCGAGTTGAGGGCTTGGAGTTTATAACCTAATAGTTCTGAAAGTGGGCATAGTGTACACATACAATAAAATAGTAATAAGCTTTTGGAACTGATAAAGTAATATGAGACTGAAATGTTTTAGGTTTTTTTTTTTTCCCTAGACCTAATAATGCCCTCTTTAATTTACTGTAACCGTTGCACTTTGCTCTATGGCTCCATCTATGCTCACTCAATCTGGGAGTTTGGGTATGTAATTTACAAGCATGCAACAGGCTGTCCAAACAGAGGGGGTTTTGAGTTCATGTGCATGCAGAACTGCAGCAACTTCTGTGATGGAGGTTGAAGGAGACTTGTTATTTAAGACATAATGTTCTGTTCCAAAATAAACATGGCACTGATAGTGCTTTACAGTTTTTAAAACTCTACAGCCTGCGGGTTGGGTACTCGCATGGTGTTTCCCTGTGAATGCTGGTGTAACAGATCTGGGTTTACTAATTGTATACTTCTGTGTAAGGATCTGAGACAGTAGCATGTAAACGTTGCAGAGTTTGGACTTAAGCATCTATTTTAGCTTCAGTGAGCAAAATCAAGTGTGCTTTATTTATATAAGCTGTGTGGAAATCAAAGGTGGGTGTGATACTACTTAACATATGAGGAGTGAATCTAATGCAGGGGATGAAAGCGTGCAGCCTTGTTGTCTAGAACTCTGGCTAGGTCTTTTTTCCTATTTCAGTAAAGATTTGAAGATACAATATACTAAATAACATAAATGCAGAGAATGCAATGAATTTTGTCCTAAAGATTAAAAGTTCATCAACAATACATTTTTTTTTTTTTTTTTTTAATGCATGCTGTTCTTCTGGAATTAAAAGTTCATCAACAATACATATATTTTTTTTTTAATGCATGCTGTTCTTCTGGGTCATCTGTCTTTTTGGGTGTCCTCAGACAGCAGCTGGGGAGTTCTTTCAGGACCAGGAGTGAGAGCTGACTGTGAATGATGTGCTGCATGTGGTATTGTTTTGCTCTTCCCTTGGAGAAATGGAGCTGATGGCCAGTTTGGGGAAACTTTGTTGCTGCCTTCTGCACTTTTGAAACTTGTTGTAATCTATGACATCTCTGATTCAACTAGTCCAATGAATAGAGAGTAATAAGTTACTTCCCTCATGACTGTTCATAATCAGATACCCCCAAAATTCAGAAGCAAGAGTGGGTTGGATGTGATTGTTCAAAGCAGGGGCTAGACTCTTTCTTTCTCTTCTCTGTGAAGATGTTTTTGTTAATACCTGTGAGTTCTGTGTTCCCTGTTGCTTTTGTAGTACAAATGAGTGCTGCTGCCTCCAAGTTTAGCTGGTGCTTCTTGCAGTCTTTTCTCTGTGATGCTGTGCTGCTGGTCTTGTTGCATTTTTCCTGTATCTGGCTGTCATCCAGATTCTCTCTGTTCATGTGTTATCTTTCTTGTTTGTTTTTCTTCACTCAGACTATCTACTTTACTTTGGTTTTGTGCTGTGGTTTAGTTGCTTATCTTGCAATATAATTCCCATCTTTCCCCACCCCCTTGTGTTTTCTGATGACAACTAGTTTGTTTCATTTGCTTTTTACAGGGCTACATCTGAGCTGTATGTCATCACACAAAGGATACTCTGATAGCTCATGTTTCATTTTCAAGCAAAGTGAGAAATCACACTTCAGGAGGACTCTATCTTTCTGAATGTTCTTGAACACCTCATTCATAGATGAAACAGCAAATAAAAGTTTACACCCCTGTTCTTTCTGTAGGGGAAATCATTTGACTACCTTAATTTAACTTTATCATTGATTCTATATGACCTGCTTCAATGCAGATAAAATATTTTTCTGGATTGCTGTGCTTCCTTATATGCAGACCTGTACTTTGCATGTCTCTCTGCTTTGTTCAGATTAATTTCAAGGTGTTTGCCTGCTTTGAGGGCTTGAGGAACACTCATCTTTTCCATATCACTCTTAACTGTGTGGGACCATATCCTGTCTCCTTTTTTTGAGCAAAAGCAAAGTGTTTCAGTTCCTTTTTGTTCCATTTCCCACAAAAGCCCATGGCAGGTGTTCTGTGGTCGGATTGTGCAGGTTTATTGAGTGATATTGTCACCTTCTTTTATTCTTCTTGTTGGTTTTGGAGTCTTTGCTTGGTATGGTTGTAATATTTTTATGCCTCAAAAGGTTTTTCCAAGTGACATTACATACATGAGAATACTCTTACATAAGCCATTCTCACTTCACTTTCCCTGGTTAAATCTTGGTCTCTGGTAAAAAATTCTTCAGGAGCATTGTTCCTTTTTCAGGAACATTCAATGTGGTAGTGAGTTGATTGATTAATAGTCTATTAGAGATTATTTAAATTGCAAATATGAAGTTAGACAATAGTAAGTCTGCTGTTACTATTTACATGCTATGAAGAAAAAGTGTACTGAATGAGATGTTCCATGTTCTTTGGAGGGGTTTATAGTTTTGTCACCTTGTTACAAGTGACCTGCCAACTCTCCTGATCAGAAATGTTACATTTGTGAATCCCTGTGCACTTTGTTTTGATTTCCCTAGATACTTCATTTTAGTATTTAATGAACTATTATGCATGAAAAAAGGCAACTAAGGAAATGGGTTGTAAAATGTAAAACTGCCTAGGAGAAGATTGAGGGATTGGGAAGAAGGTGAATCGTCAGAGGTGGCTTATTAAACAGCTCAGAGAGTTGAGGAACTAAATCTCAGTGTGGTGGGTGTTTTTTTTCCTTGTTGCCCAAGGGTCCTGTAAACTTGAGCATTCATGTCTTGATATGCGTGAGTAGACATGTACAAAACACCCTCGTGCCTCGGGGAGAATGCAGTTAAAGTATTTCTGTCAATGCTGTCCTGATCTTTCCTTTGGTTCCATGACTGTTGAAGTGCGGTGGCTTCCCACCCTGCTTGGGTGCCAGCTCTCCCCCTGCCATGCTTTCGGTTCCATCTTGCAACATCTCTTACAAACTGTGGCCAGTTAGCATGTTACAGATTTCGAGGAGGAACGATAGTTGTACTGAGGCATATATTTGCTAACTTGAGTATGCTGCTGTTTCCTGAACTGTAATGTATTTTCATCTGGAGTGTCATGATAAGTTTTCTGGGGTTTCTGGAGTCTTTCCATGGACTGTACGGTTATTTTTCCTTTGTTCATCTTCTCTTTGCTTTGAGATGCCCTGAGGTAGACACTCTTGACTTTCTGGCAACTGGGTTGATGATTTTTACGGCTCTTTTAAAGTGTTGCTAATAGATTCATAAATACTTGTAATTGCTGTATTTGCTTTATAACAGATGTATTCAAAGCAGTTGATTTAGTGTTCCAAGATAGTGGCCCTTGTACTGAAACTGCATATAACAGTTTCAGTGCAGATTTTGTCTCCTGTTGGAGGGAAAGATACCACACCATATATAACACATCTTCTCAGCCACTCCTTCAAGGCCACATTTGGGTCTGGTTACTTTGGCTTAATTCTGGAGCATGAGGATTGCCATGCTCTAGTAGTCATAACAGAAGTTAGCTAAAACTTAAGCTGCAGCATTGTTATTTTATTAGATGCACTTTTTATAGTATTAATAATCAGTTTGATGGTTTGGTTTTAATTATTAATGCCCATTCATTTTAAGGGTGTCACCTGCGTAGTAAGAATTACTGTGCGGTATAGTTTAATGCAAAATATGGGTGTTGTATTAAGTTTAAAAAACCCCTGCTGTATGTACTCACAAAAGTGCGTGCATTCTGATTGTTCAGTGTTTTGTCCTGCTTGAACTATTTTCATGCTGTTCATTCCCCTTGCTTCCTGTCCTTTAGGTCTGCACTTCTGTATGGTGTATAAAGTCTGAGCCTCTTGTACAGCCTTGATGATGTTTGTGTTATAATTTAAGCAAGTTCTAAATTAGTACAATTCTTGAAACAATAAAAATGAAAAATACTTTTGGAGATATAAAGTCTGTCTTCAATTTGTCACGGAGAGGTAATTTGAAATTATTCTGCATTGAATGAATGAAGATTGTGCAGGAGCTTTGGAAATGTCATGATTATCCAACTAGCGCTCTGAAGGGTTTAGCATTCATTATTACAAGATGAAAGCTTTGGTAGGTTGAAAATAGTCATTTATAACTATAATTTTTTTTTTTCTTGTTGTAGCTCCCACCCACTCATTCACCCATGCACTTCAACCTCAGAATGATTTCCTATCCGGAGTTCATGGGAATTATGAACAAGGGTAGCTGTTGTCATAGCCATTGTAAAAGCTTAAAAAAAAAAAAAAAAAAGTGGGGGGAGGGGAAGGTTGGAGAGGGCAAAGGAACAAGGAACAGTTGTATCGATTTCTCATTCTTCTGATCAAAAGCTTAAGGCAAATATTAAAAGTACTTAAATTCAGAATGCTGCAATTTTGCATGATGAGGGACTGAGGGTTGCAGGCGTAGTTATGCAGCAAGGAGTTGGCTGGTATTGGGGTTGCTCGGAGTGTGCAACTGTCTGCAGCATTGTGTGTTACTTTGGCTGTACTATGTTCTTGCTTAGCTTCTTAGGTTATCTTTTTGAATTGAGGCTAGTGTCATGCTTGTGTTGCTACAAGGGTAATTTTCTTTTTTATCTCCCCCCCCCCCCAATGCAGTGATAATATCTTTAAACTTGAACTGTTAATATGGAGGAACGCGTAAGCTATCACACACTTCCATTTTATTTATGATCCAATGGTAGCATATAATAGCTTTGGTTCCTGAAGTGTTACTTTCAAACATAGCCATGTATTCGATGCTTACTTTGACTTGTGTTTCATTCATATTTTTGGGTCTTTGTACATATACTGATAGTTTTTATGGAAACTATTTGAGAAATTGATGCTTAATCTTTTTATGCTGCTGCAGTACTGACTCTGAATTCTCCTCCAGGTGCCCAGATTATTGATTTGATGATGCTTGTAATAGATGTGACAAAAGGGATGCAGACGCAGTCAGCAGAGTGCTTGGTAATCGGGCAAATTGCCTGCCAGAAGATGGTGGTAGTTCTGAACAAAATAGATCTCCTTCCAGAGGGGAAGAGACAAAGTGCCATTGAGAAGATGACTAAGAAAATGCAGAAGACCTTGGAAAATACTAAGTAAGTTAACAATAATATTAACAGCTAACTTGTAACAAGATGTTTAACAAAAATAATTCACCCATGTTTCCCTTCCAACATGCTTCTAAACACACTGAGACATCTAGCAAAGATGGTGAGAAGAGGGTGGAAAGATTACCAGAAACTCAAATGCAGTCATGAATTTGCATCTGCAAGTATCACGTGTAGGGAAATATTTTCCTGTAACAAAGCTTTTCAGTTTAAAGGGCTGCTTGGAGTTCAGACTGGATAAAACAAAGCTAGAATATCCAGGCAAAGAACTTTTTTGTTGTTGTTGCTGTTGGTTTTGGGGTTTGGTTTTTTTTTTTTTAGTTTATGGGTTTGAAACTTTTGTTGTGGTCTGCAAGTCTTTTTCACTCCAGAGAAAAGAAAGTATTAGGGCTTTTCCTTAACTGAGGGTGAAAAATGCAATTGCCCTAAGTAGGGAAAGCAGAATGATGGAAGTTTATGTAATGTGGCTCTGGCAGGGATGATGTTTGTCAGTCCTGTTTAGGTAAATCAACTGAGGTACCTAATGAATGAAGTGCAGTGAGATTCACGAGTGGAAATGTAGCTGTTATGAGGTGGGAAGATACAATACAGACACAATATTTATGTAGTGGTTACACTAACTGAAGCACAGCTTGCTTTGCCCAGGGTCATAAGGGGACATTGACTCCCATGTTTATAGCTGTTAGGTCACATTTTGATTTTGAAGAATCAAAGGAACAGGATTCAGCATACAGAGGACAGAATTTCACCAGGACCAAAAAAGCAAAACTTGGTTGGATATGGCAATTCCTGCTTGGCTTATTTGTGATGGTAGGGCAATGTCCCTTTTCAACTATGCAACTCCCTCATTAGTGACTACGAAGATCTTGGTGTCTTTCCAGCTCCTGTATTGTTCTTGGGTCCGTTTATTTTGCTGAGAATAGTACAGAGGTGAAAAGTGAAATTCTCTCATGTGAACTCAGACAGAATCCTACAACTTTCAATTCTCTCTGTCAGCTGTTGATTTAAGGGCAAATAAATACAGGGTGGCTTGGTTTTATCTGTAGGTTGCTGCCCCTCGTTTTACGGAAAATGGAGAAAGGAGACACCTGCAATATCTCAAAGCATTTTGGATCAACAATTTTTTTTTTTATAGCTGTGAGTTTGTTGATCAAATTCACAAGTAATCCCAAAGGGGGGGGTAGCATTGAGATAATAAAGTTAGAAAACTTTTAGAAATAACTATCTAATGGCATTCTTATGATTTTATTTGGTTGTTTGAAATAGAATATATAGAATGTGAATTAAGCAGGATTACAATTAATAGTTGTTTTCTGTTTCTCGTCTATGCCAAGAAGTTAATGATTTTTAAGAGAATTTATCTTAATATACTGGTCACTTTTATTTTGTCCTTCTTTTAAAATTTGTTTATTCTTCCTGAATGGCAGTAATTGCTGCTGCAGGTGGTACTTCATTCTTGGTTTAGTCCAAGATCGTATTGCGAAGGATTGGGAAAAAGACCTTTCTAGTTGCATATTCATAAAACAAAGACAGATTTTTGTAAGGAAACTGGTGTTCGGAAATACTTTTTATGTATGCTGTTTGAATTAAATCTTCTCTTGATATCCTGGAGTACAGATGGGTCTTTACAGCGTGTCTTGAAAATTAGCAGACTTTGTCAAAACTGAAGGGGAAGTGAGTTTTTGAAACAGTTGACATGCTAGCTGTGAGGCCCTTACCTCTAGCCCCCTTTTAAAACAAGGACGTGTATCAGCTGATCTCAACAGCTTTTTTTATGTGTGATTTTGTTAATCAAATTCACAAGTAATCCCAAAGGGGGGGGTAGCATTGAGATAATAAAGTTAGAAAACTTTTAGAAATAACTATCTAATGGCATTCTTATGATTTTATTTGGTTGTTTGAAATAGAATATATAGAATGTGAATTAAGCAGGATTACAATTAATAGTTGTTTTCTGTTTCTCGTCTATGCCAAGAAGTTAATGATTTTTAAGAGAATTTATCTTAATATACTGGTCACTTTTATTTTGTCCTTCTTTTAAAATTTGTTTATTCTTCCTGAATGGCAGTAATTGCTGCTGCAGGTGGTACTTCATTCTTGGTTTAGTCCAAGATCGTATTGCGAAGGATTGGGAAAAAGACCTTTCTAGTTGCATATTCATAAAACAAAGACAGATTTTTGTAAGGAAACTGGTGTTCGGAAATACTTTTTATGTATGCTGTTTGAATTAAATCTTCTCTTGATATCCTGGAGTACAGATGGGTCTTTACAGCGTGTCTTGAAAATTAGCAGACTTTGTCAAAACTGAAGGGGAAGTGAGTTTTTGAAACAGTTGACATGCTAGCTGTGAGGCCCTTACCTCTAGCCCCCTTTTAAAACAAGGACGTGTATCAGCTGATCTCAACAGCTGTGATTCCACCTGGAGGGAAATTGTCCTGTCATAATGTTTTAATTACCCATCTGAACTCTGGATTCTAGAAATGCTCTTTTATTGGATGTGTCTGTGTATTGTTCTCATAACAAAAGTTCAGTTTTTGCATGTACAGTCTGTGCTTTATGGTGCTTTGAAAGCACTGCTGACCTAGGCTTGATTGTAAAGTGCTTGTCCTGTTGTATCTTAGGCGTGTGTTATTTCTTGACAGCCTCTTTCCCACTTGACTTTGAATTTCCAAATGCATGTTTTTTAACTGTTTTTGTATTTCTAAACTACTCTTATTAGCAGAGCATATGCTGAGACCATTTGACAGCTGCCTCTGACCCCAAACACTTGGCAATGAGTTTTTTTTCCGGGACTGGTTTACTTGTTGGTTGTTATTTCTCTACGCACACAGGCATGCATGCACACAGTTCCATAGCAGTATGCAAATCTGAAGTCTGTTGCAGCTATAGAGTAGGTGTTGCCATTGATGCTGGGGTAATTATTTTAGTGTTGTCAGGAGATTCCATGGAAGGTGAAGGAAAAAAAGAAAAGTAACTGTCATATATTTGAATAGTTTGACACTTGTAAATTTAACCTAATCGAAACTTGCTTGTTCCATGGATTGATACTAAGAGTAAAAGCATATGAATGGAATTTCTATTTTTTCATAATTTTTTGCATATGCCAGCTTTTATCTTTGTCCAGCAGGGTCTAAACTCTGCTGACAATAAATGGATGTGATGGAGTAAGAACTGAACCATGTTTGGAAGTGCCTCCGAAGGCAGTATGTGATTACTTCTGTTTGTTCTGGTATATGGGAAAGGAATAAAGCACCTGCTTCAGCATAAATTTCTATTTATTACAATACAATGCCCTAAAGTGTTTGTATGAAAATAAATTTCCAAAAGTTTTATGGTTAATCACAGGAATTTTCAATGCACATTTTTATTACCCTTTGTCCCTAGATGCCTCAGACTTATGGCATATAAACACAGAAAATACCTTATATGCTTGATTACTGTTTGGTCACTAGATGAGCTCCCTGTATAGTACTTAGCATTTTTTCTTTATCAGGGCACTGTCTTTTTCCTCCAGTTCACTCCCTTTTTGAGATAAAATTCTATGGGGGGTGGGTGTCAAAGGATGGCCACAATAATTACCTTTGGTCTGAATCTGTTGCATAAGAATCAAGTATCCATAAGAACCAGTCACTTTTTTGTGTTATTGCTGATTATTATTCCATTGCTCTAATATATCTATTTTTTACGTGGTTAATCCTGACTTTTGCAAAAATGCATTAATAATTTGACTTACAGTCTAACTTCCCATTCCAAAGTGTAGGCAAAACAAGCTATTAGATGATTCAAACACTAGGTTTCATTTTAGGGAGCAAAAGGTACACGTTCAGTTAGCAGACTTAAAAAAAGCTGAATATTAAGGACTTGAAGAGTAAAATTCATGGTAAGAGAAAAGCCGAACTGAGGTCATCTGTGGAAGTACTGCTCTCTCTGAACCTTTGCATGGTTGAGATTGTGGGTTTCATGAACTTTGATTTCAGTAGACTTAGAACTTTCTTTTGTCTGCAGATCTTGCAGTCTGCCTGCACACTCAGGTGTAGACATCATGTGGCATCTTGCATTTGGCTCCTGTTTGGGAGGTTATCACTCTACAGCTAGGATTATAATTGCTTTAATGAAAGTTGAAAACAGTGCTAGTCTCCAGGTAAAATGGCTTGAATGCAAAGCCACTGCAATAAGACTGGGTAACAGACCCTTGCTTCTGAAATAAACTGAAGTCTTACTTTTGATTGCCACAGAGTTGAATCAGTTAGCTAATACTAAACAGGATTGAAGATTTCATAGCGAAGTCCAGTAGCGCAGATGCTAGTAATTCAAGAAAAAAAATTCAGTTATTCACTATGGGAGAAGAGCAGATAAATCGGAATTTGAGGGAGTTTCCTTGCCTTCATTGTTGGATGAGCCTGGAACTACTTTACATTGACACATGTAGGAGATCTGTGGTCTAATGGTGGGAGTCTTTCTCTCTTTCAGGTTCTGTGGGTGTCCTATTGTTGCTGTTGCAGCAAAGCCTGGTGGACCGGAAGCCCCAGAGTCTGAGAATCCACTCGGTGTTTCTGAATTAATTGAGGTACCTGCTGAAGAATGTAATAATAACATAAAATGTGCTTGAACTTTCCTTTAAGTCTTTTGGAGTACACTGTATTAGTATCTAGAGCTGAGGAACTCCTGCATTAATGTCAGTTTTAAGGAACCTGGTTCTTTAGGGATTCCTTCTAGTGAATGGAGAAGTTGAGGTTGCATGCCCCAAAAGTGGATCTCCTTTTTCAACTACTAGGCTTCAGTGCCTTTGAATAGCTGTGTCTTAAGAAACGGCTATCACACATGTGGTGAAATTGGTTTTAAAGTTGTAAAGAACTACAAAGCATAATGAATAAAAATTACCTTTAAAATTCTGCCAAATCCTCGGTAGGTGTTGTTTTATAATTGTACCACGGTTAAGAAAACAGTAAAGGTGTGAAGTCAGGCACTCAAGTAACACATTGGGAATTGTCTCCTTCCTTTGTGTGTGTGTATTATGATCCAGTGTTTAAGTGCATGATTATTTATTCTAAACCCTTGCCTCATTCCTTGCACAGGATGGACAGGGCTCAACTAGTGAGCAGATAGTCCGTATTTTGTTTTAATTCTCATTATTCTCTGTGTGGCCTCATGACTCCATTCAAATACTGCTCTGCATTCAGAATGATTAATTTCCTCCTGGACTTTTCTTTGGCACACATCACTGTGGTCTTCAGCACTTGGCAAACAGTTAATTTACTTCCAAAAGACCTATAGGAAGTGTAGAGGTGACTTTAATCCATATTTAGATTGGGAAGCTGAGGCACAAAGGAGTTAAGTCCACTGAGTTTACTAATTTTGGTTGCCAAATTTAAGGAAACTAAGAACTCTTGGGACATGCTTATGTTCAGATCATAGTACCGCCAATTTTGATTGCAATTGTGAATGCTTAGCACTTCTGTTAAGCTTCAGGGTTTCTGTTTGGATAGTCTGAGGTGTATAGTCAGTGATTACCTGTGGAAAGTTTCATTTTTAAGAGAATGACAATATATGGGAGTTCTGGCATAAGCAAGTGTAGAATCTATTCTCTAGAGGAGCACCACCTGCCTTCACGATGAAACCATCTTTCTCTGTGATACTCTGCCTTGCCTACTGTGTGCTTTGCACATCTGCAAAAGATAAAAAGCATGGCCTGGATTTACCCTGTGCTCTGAATGAGGTAGGACCTGGAAAAAACTGTATGATTGTATAACTAACATTATATCAGACTCATATGAACAAGAGAAGACTTAAGCAAACTGATGTTTCACAGGTATCCTTAGTTCCAGTAATGTGGGTTTGTGGGTTTTTTTTTTGGGGGGGGGATAAATTCTCAGTTTTTAAAAACAAAACAAAAACTCCTAAGTTATATGATAAGTTATATGGTATGAAGCTTATACTGTGAAGGGCAGGACACTTAAAATAGCTGTTTGAGTGCCGCTTGTAGTAGACTTGTCACCCTTTTTGTGAATAAGCTTTAAGGAAAAGTAGCATCCTTGTCCTGGAGGGGTGCCACTGTTATTTGCAGACAGCAGAAAGTAGGCCTAAAACAAAGGCATCATTCTTTGCAGACTTGTCAAGGTCTGATTTGGATGCTGCCAGGTTTAAAATACTTGTAAATTGCTGAAGTTAGGGTGCAGCACCAGTCATCAAAAATGTAGGGATGTCTGACCCAGGGCAACCTGGCTTGTACAAAGGCAGGATGTTCCACGTAGCTGCTGAGCACTAAATGTTGTACCTCGTCCCAGGCACGTGTGGCCTGAGGTGGGCATGGCGGTGTGATGTGGTATGGCCTTAGAATAGACTTAGCAAGAACAACGCTGCCCATAGCAATGTCTAGAGAGCTGGAGATAGGCAAGTCCTTAGTTCTGCCTTTATCTGGTTCTGGGTAGATTTACTGGGATGTTGCCCAGGGTTAAAACCTTTGAAGGAAATACCCATGTTGCAGCTGTTTCTGTCAACTCTGAGACCTAACGTTAGAAGAGCTGGCAAACGCTGTGTGAGTCCTGCCATTGAGCCTCAAGGTATTATCCTTTCTGTCTTTGATAAAAGACTCTCTCCATTGTTCTGCCATTACAACTTAGGCTTAACCTGCAGCTTCTGACCTTAAAAGCAGACATTAAAAGCAGTGCCAAGTTTATACGCTGGTGTTAGAGGCAGAGATCAAAAGTGATTAGAGACGGGTGAACCAGTTCCTCTGAAGTGCTGTTGGGTACATGACTGCATTTCTATAATTAAGGTCTTCTGTCTATGATGATATATTTTAAGAAACATAGTATTGTCAGCAAAACAGAAATCCTAAACTTGGAGAATTTCTCTAGAAAACGGTACTTACATAGCTATTTTTCTTAGTGGTTTGATCCTCCAAGAAGTGTTAACAGAAATCTGAAGGGGAAGTTGACTCTGAAAACTTATCCCAGTATAATAGTTTTCCTGGGAGGGAGGCGGGGATGGGCTTTATGGGGCACTAATATCTCTATGTAAGTTCATTTTCACAAAATCCAAAAAAGCTGAAGTAGCAAAATGTACTGTAGAATTGTACTTGGGGGGGGGGGAAGGGGGAGGATGTACAGGATTTTTTTTTCTCTCTGCTTTGCTGCAGTGTTTATTATATTGAGTTTGGCAGCAACTTTATCGCCAGTGCAGTTTTGCTAACCAAGCTAAATGTGTAGCACCAAATCTTTCTAAGGCAGAAAATCGAACTGTTCCCCCTGCTAAGTGTGCGTCTTCTCTATGGCACGCAGTTAATTTGACATTGGTGTGTTCTAAGCTCATTGGGAGATGCCTGAAATCGGTAAAACTGCAAGCTTGTTCAATCAATCATCCGCTTGCCTTCCTTTTGCTGTGTGGCTGTCATGATTTTTCACCCAGGCATGGTGCTGCTTTTATCTCCTTTTTCAGGTCCTGAAGTCTCAGGCTTACCTGCCATCAAGAGACCCCTTGGGACACTTCCTTATGGCAGTCGACCACTGTTTCTCTATTAAGGGTCAAGGCACGGTGATGACAGGGACTATTCTTTCTGGCTCTGTTAGCCTTGGTGACAATGTGGAGATTCCTGCCCTGAAGGTGAGTCTCTCATTTTCACTCCCCCTGGTTTTCCTGGTAGAAAGACACTCAACAAAGAGGAGAGTGTTCTCTTCCAATCTGAAATTATTCAATTATTTTCAATGTCTGTCTGTCTGTTCTGTTTTTTTTTTTT